ATCGCAACAGTTTCTTGGAAGACCCGTACTTAACAGTCACTCAGACAGTACAAGAGCCAAGTCAGCAGAGTCAGTCAAGTGGCCTGTCCGAGGAATTCACTAGGCTCCTAGTCGTAGATGACAATAGCTTATGTTAGGCAGTGTTTACTGGGCATCTTCTGCTTTATATGCAGTAACTATGTAATAGGTAATAGTCTTTTTCTTTTTTAATCCTCACTCAAGGATATTTTCCATTGATTTTTTTTTTTATAGAGAAGGGGGGAGAGAAACATTGATGTGTAAGAAAAACATTGAGCCCTGGCCGGTTTGGCTCAGCGGTTGAAGCGTTGGCCTACGGTACAGAGAGACCCGGGTTCGGTTCCCGCTAAGGGCATGTACCTTGGTTGCAGTTTGTCCCCGGCCCTGGTTGGTCGTGCGGGTGGCAGCCACTCGATGTGTCCCTTTCACATCGATATTTCTCTCTCTCTCTCTTCCTCTCTCTCCCTCCTGCTCTATCTGAGCAAAAAATGGAAAAATGTCCTCGGGTGAGGATTAAAAAAAAAGAAAAACATTAATTGGTTGCCTCCCGTACTTCCTCCAACTGGGGATTGAACCTGCAACCTAGGTATATGTCCTGACCAGGAATCAAACCCACAACCTTTTTAGTGTACATGTTGTTGATGCTCAACTAACTGAGCCACCCGCTGGGCAGTAATATCCTTGTTTTACAGATGAGATAACAGAAGCTAAAAGAGGTTAAGTTACTTGCCCAGGATCACACAGTTCAAAAGTGCCCGAGTCAGTACATTAAGGGGGAAAAAAAAAAAACTATCCAAGAATTACTTTAGGACCAATTCCCCAGCATTTTTGTCAGTGAAGTGTCATATACTAGTATTCTCTTAGAGTATCTTAAAGACCGTGTGTGTGAATGTAACTCGCTTACCCCGGCCTGATGCAAACGAGCCATCCAGGCCAGGGGCTGCTTTGTTTCTGAGAGCAGCTGGGAGAGGATTTGCAGCCCATTCCTCAGTCCGCACTTTATTGACGAAAAAGATCTTTTTACTTTGCTTTTTCTCTCCCAGGTATTTTATACTCTTTACAGGATTGTATAGTATGCATTTTAAAATGTCACCACATAGAGGAGGGGAAATGATAAATGTCAGTATCAGAATAGACACTTGGGACACCTTCATGCCCTCGCTTTCCTTTAATAGGGAGTTGCTATTGTTCTGGGTTCCTCTTTTTTTTAAATTAAACCTGCTAGATGAACCTGACTTCCTTTGACAGAATGTGTGAGTAAGTGAAACCTGCCAAGTGGGGCTAAGGTGGTGGCTTCTCCGTCAGCGAGAGTGACTTGCTTAAAGTCCACAGTTTGCACAAGGAGACAGTTAGATGTGGAGGCCTCTGGAGCACTGATCGGCCCCTGAGACTCCGTTGGTCTTTTCACTGCTCTAAGGCCTGATCTCCCTCTTCCTTGGGGGCCAGCAGAGCAGTGTCTGGCCCGAACTGCACAAAACCGCACATGAATCCCTGGTCCCAACCCCCCATCTGTGAGGGCCCCACATCCTCGCTCAGAAAGTCCCGTGTGTCCACAGAGCCGGGGGGTAACAGGACAGAGGGCCAGGGGACAGCAGGTTTCCAGCAGTCCCTGCTCAGTGCCCTGTGTGTCCCCGGGCAGGCAGCACGGTGTAGCTGGGACAGGACAGTACTTCTCTCCCCTTTCATCTCTACTTTAAGGGACACGGCTGCCTCCACTTCCCAGACTGACTGTTGTGTGTTTCTCTTTTTTCTCACAGAAAGCATTTCACTTGATTCTACAGCTTCCCTTGTGAACCTAGGCAATTCCCCAAGGAGCCGTCAGTCGGGAGAGATACTCCAAATCCGACGGCAGGGGCTCTGGGGGAGAGCGTCCGGAGGCCTCGGCTTTCTGAGGGTCAGGGCTGGGAGTTTGCCAAGGAGGCGCCGGAGGGACGGGGCTCGGGCTCAGGCAGCAGTTATTCCCGTTTTTTAACAGCTGGCTGAATCTGAGTCTTATCTTCCTGGCCTTCAGCCTTGTGCCCAGGTATCAGCCGACAGGACCCGCTTGCTTTCAGTAAAGCCCCCTCAGCCAGTAAATGCAACACGTGTGAAGCAGCTGGCCTTGCACAGTGGCTTCGCACTGCTGCCTAAACATTTGGGTGTGAAGAATTGGAGTCAACCTCCAAGCCCTTCCAGGGCTCTGTGATCGACACTGAGGGCAACAGAGCAAAGGAATGCAGACATTCTTCAAACAACTTCAGATTATTCTAATACGTGGCCACTGTAGAAATCCTTTTAAACTGGTTTTTACAAGCCTGATAAGGATAAATATAATAATAACTACCCTAATCCTGCTACTAAAATATAATCACAGTTAAAAATTAACATTTTGGCTTATTTCTTTCCAGTCTCTTCTCTATACACATAATTACCTTTAACATGGTGGAGGTCATACTGAATATTCAGATTTTATTTTATTAAATTTATTGGGGAGACAGTAGTTAATACGATTATATGAGTTTCAAGTGAACAATTCTATACTACATCTGTATATTGTATCATGAGCTCACCACCCGAAGTCTGGTCTCCTTCCATAAGCATACATTTGACCCTCTTTATATTATTATTATTTGTTATTGTTGTTGTTGTTGTTGTTAAGCCTCATCCGAGGATTTTTTCCATTGATTTTTAGATAGAGAAGGAAGGAGGGAGAGAGAAACATTGATGTGAGAGAGACACATCAATTGGATACCTCCCATATGACCCCAGGGCCGGGATCGAATCTGCAACCCAGGTATGTGCCCTTGACTGGGAATCAAACCCGAGATCCTTTGGGCTATGGGCTGATGTTCTAACCCCCGAGCCAAAACAGCCAGGGCATTTGACCCCCCTTTTACTCTCTGCAACCTCCGCCAGCCCCCTTTCTCTCTCATAACCACCTACTGTTGTCTGTGTTCATGCGTTCTTTTGTTTGTTTTGTTGGTTGGTTTGTTGTTTTCTGTTTTATATTCCGCATATGAGTGAAATCATATGATTCTTGTCTTCTGAGTAATTTTGCTTAGTATGATGCTCTCAGGATCCATCCCTGTTGTAGCAAATGGCAGTATTTCATTCAGTTTTGTAAGCATTTCTGTGCTTCCTTTAAACATTTCTTTATAAACATCTTAATGACTGTGAAATATGGGTAAGGAATCAAAAGAAGTTTCATTCTAATCCTGATCTGTCAATCAGTATTGACAAACTTCACTAAAACTTCCCAACTAAATCCAGAGTGATGCCTTGCCCGTCTTGGCACAGCAGTGACATGTGTACCACTGGGTTAGATCCTGCCCCAGACTGTGGGGACAGAGTGCTGCTGCGGGGTCCTGCTGGGCCTGTGCAGAGCAGACGTGGACACAGGACTTCGAGGGACCCCAGGGGCCACAGACCTCAAACACAAGCCTGCTTTCTGCCTCCACTACTTCTTCTGCCTGCGGCTTGTTCTCCCGGAATTAATGCCCATTGCGAGAAAATGCGTTCTTACTCACTGTGGTTAGGCAGGCAGCATTGGGGGATGTGACCAGTCTTATTAAAGTTTGGTTTAATGGAAGTCCTTCTTCAAACTGGCACACATATGCCTTCTTTTTATTAACTTTTGGGGTTCAGCAAATGCTTCTTCAGTTTGAAGAATATATGTAAACGACGATTCAAGAGTGGCCTGTGACACAGGAATATAAGACACAGGCCTGTAAGCATGGCTATTTACGAAAAAATTTTTGTCAAGAAGAAAAATTTCCTAACCCACTCTTACTTCCTCTCATTCAAATTCTTGAAAAGGGTGTTGATGGAGTCTGTGATTTGTTCTATCAGTGTTATGTCGCCTAAAAATCCCAAAGCTTTAGCAGTGGATAAAGATGATCATTTCTGTTTGCTTTCTCTATGAAAAAGTGCTGAGAGCCCGGACAGTGTGGCTCAGTGGCTAGAGCATCGTCCCATGGACTGAGAGGTCCCACTTCAATTCCCAGTCAGAGCACATGCCCAGGTTGTGGGCTCCATCCCCAGTAGGGGGCGTGCAAGAGGCAGCTGATCGATGTATCGCTCTCACATTGATGTTTCTATCTCTCTCCCCCTTCCTTTCTCCTAAAGAAATCAATAAAAACATATTTAAAAATAAGTAAAATAAAATTGTGGCTTAGGTTGACTATTTATTATTATTTTTAATGTGACAAAACCATTTTAAGAAAACACATATCTAAGACATAGTGGTGATAATTCGTATACATTAGGCTATTCACTGAGCTACCAAGGCCTTTAAAAACAATTAGTACTCCCCAAAGGGCTCTAATATAAATCTTAAGATGTAGGAATTATTTATGCAATGCTACAAAAAAAGGTCAGGCTTTATGTTGGGTTACTGTCTGTTCAGTTTTATTGTAATTATTCCGTGAGACCAAGCCTTCAAAAGATAATGAACGACCAGTGACCAGATCTAATTGGACCGGATCCGTTGAGATTCTTGAGAGGAGAGACTGGGACACTTACAGTGGGAACCATGTGGTCAGTGTAGTCCTGTTGGAAACAGGACTGCATTCCTGCTCTCTGGGGAACTAGGTGTGACTGTCGTTAAAGACGAGTGTTATGTTATTGATTAAAAACTAGTGAAATACTGGTTTTCAGTATTTTCACTTTAAAAAGCATCATTTGAGTCAAAGAAGACAAATCATGTCCCTTCTGTGAGTTGTTCATCGATCATTGTTGTTGACCCAAATTCATCTTAGATTAACTTTGACCTGAAAGTTTCAGGGAATTGTGCTAAGCCTGAAAATTTCCCCCAAACCTTAGCACCTGTTCTGTATTTATAAACTGAAATAAACTACAGGTATCAGATGCAAGAAGATTCTATTTACTTTAGACAGTGCCTTTGTTTTAGAAGTTTACATCAGAAATCTTTTTAGACTGTTAACTGTTTTGTTTCCTTGTGGCAGGGTAGCTAATGTATAATCATTGCACTTTCTCCCACCCAGTGCCCTGCCAGACCGTTTTAGATTACTTGAAGACGGTGCTACAGCATCACAACCAGCTCATGATCCCGCAGCCAGCTGACCAGCCCACCGAGGTAGGTCTCCGTTTGTAAAAAGGTAAATATTGTTCCATTTGGAATTTCCTTAAAATGAAGTGTCTTGATGGCTTACCCACATATACCAGAACAGATTGGCTAGCAAAAGATGATGCATGTATTTAACTCGCAGAGTCAACTGTGGACTCCAGGGGAAATAAGGGAGAGAGCAGTTTAAATAGTGGGGGCAAGTTTTCCACCATTCTTTAGGCACAGAGGGGGCGGGAGATGAGAGACACCAACCTGTCATTCCCTCAGGCACAGCCAGGGTTCCAGATGCCTTTGTCTGTGAGACCTCTCCCAAGCTGAGATTCCAGGTGTTTAGATAGATGTTCACCACACATTAGGGGCCCTGAACCTGAGCATTCTGTTCCTCTGGACCTCAACGGAGGAAACTACCATCTCTCCCGATGTGTAGCAGTGGTGTTTTGATGGTAATGGTCCATCTGTTAAACCACCGTACATTTTTGCAGGATTTAAGGCTGTTTTCTGTGTATGTTTTTTTCATCATTGGGGCCTTAGAACCTAAATCTAGTGGAAGAAGCAACTGCATTGTACCTTACTGGGGTTATAAATGTATAGGATTGAAACAACAGATTCAAGCAGTTCAGTTTTTCCATTTGGCAAGATGAGCCATTCATGCTAGTAACAGTAGGATGCTGACCCCCTCTGTCGTCTGGTGGCCATGTACCCGTTGTCATTCCCTCTGTCTAGTTAAAGTAATATTAGAGTCTGTGCTTACTGTTTAGTAGACCCTGCCGCACACTTGTTCCCACTGCCCCCTGCACGTGACAGACGGGTGAAGAGGGTGGAGTCCGGCTAGGGCCAACTCAGACTCTCACCTTCAGTGTGACCTGAGACTTGTTTGGCAGTTGGCTCCTTTTCCCGGTAATTTGGAGGCGAGATCTCAAAGGTCTAGTCCTTTCCCACAGCCCCAGCCTATCCCTAGCCCCAGCATACTCCCTCTCCTGAATTCCGCAGACGGTAAGATACCAAGTTGGATTCAGTCCTCTGAATTCTGCCACACTTCCTCAACCTTCGCACACACCCCACGCCCATGGGAACCAAGGCCCTTGCCGGTGCTGCCTGGCCCCGCCTGCTCCACCTTGCGCTGCCTCCTCCTAGACTTCGTGCGTCAGTTCCTCCTTGTCTTGTGCACTGATTTCTCTCCTGTTTCTCGGTCATTCCCGAGTATCAGACACACTCAAGTCTTCCCATGCTGAAAATAAGCCTTCCTTTGATCCTTCCTCCATCAGTTGTCTTCCCTCCTTCCATCAGCCACAGAACCCTGCCAGCACTTTCACTCTGCACCGCAGCACGTCTCACTCCTCGAGGTTAGGCCCTGCTCTCACATCAGCATCCCTGGTGCCTGCCATCGGAGGCACTGGCTGAATGGCGACCTCATTTTTTAAAGCGATTCAACACTCGGAAGACTGGTCTCTGTCAGCTCCACCTCCTACTCTCCATTTGCTCTCCCATGTCCGTAATTCATCTCCCCACCCCACTCCGGGTCGTTATGCCCTGCAGGAGGCCCTGGTGGCCTTCCCAGCTGTCCAGTCTGGGGGCCCTGTTTCAGCGTTCGTCAGCCCAGGAGCGCACCCTCCTTCTCCAGGACCTTTCCTCGGCCTTTGTGCCGGGACTGTGCTCTGGTTCCCGCCCTTTGCTTCGTGCGCTTCAGGACGTTCTCCATCCGTGTTCCCCAGACTTCTGCCCTGCGTCGTTCTCTCGCTGTCCACTGCCTTTCTCCGGTCAGTCTTTTCTCTCTCGGACCTTCAGTCACACGTAGGTTAACCAAGTCTGCACCTGGCCCACCAGCCCCCAGGCTCAACTCCGGACCAGTGAGCCCAGTGCCGAGCAGCAGTGGAATGCCCGAACCCAGGACCCTTCTTAATGCCCACCCGCACTCCTGTTTGCTGTGCGGTAAAGGCAGCACCAACCCAGGCAGAAATGTCCGGGGCATCACCCTCTTGCTCATTCCTGACATCACGTGTTTACAGCCATGTCGAGTAGTCTCTCCTTGGTCTCCAGTTCACGCTTAGCACTTTTTACTTGGCCTGTGGCAGCGGATTCTGTCTTCTCTGTCCTCCACACTGAAGTTATTTTTCTAAAGTACAGATCCAAAATAAATGTCACGTACTTCAAATCCTCCTATTACTCCTTAGAATAGGGTCTGCTATTTCTTTTTTAATTCCTCACCTGAGGATATTTTTCTACTTATTATCAGATAGAGTGGGAGGGGGAGAGAGCGAGACAGAGAGAAACATCGACCTGATGGAGCCACATCAACTGGTTGCCTTCTGCACAACCTGACCCGGGCCGGGGACAAACCGCAACCGAGGTACGGGCCCTTGACCGGAATCGAACCTGCAAATCTTGGGTCCACGGGCCGAATCCCTTTCCACTGAGCCAAACTGGCCAGGGTGGTCTGCTATTTCTTAACTTGACATTTCTCTTATACAAAAAGCACACTTTCTCCGAGAAGCTTTCCTTGATTGCCACACCCCCTCTTCTCACAGAGCACAATGTTCACAAGATGAATTCAGAATTTGCTGAAAAGTTAATGCCCACCTGTGTCTTCCGTTTGGTTACGAGGCTGTGAAGACATAAAAAGAGCTGTTTATCGTGGTCTTTTCAAAGTTGACAACGCTAGGTCAGAGTTTAATAACCTGTTGGTGGCTAATTAAAGAGACTGTGCCATCAGCATTCTATAAAAACATAAAAGTCGGGGAAATAACTACACTTCCTCTGGATAGGACTGTTTAGACTCTACCCATAATCATCATGGCTGCTGTATTATTTTTATTGTTATGTTAGGCCTCTGAACATTTCCTCATTGGTATTATTTATTACATTTTATTTTTATTAACTACATACAATAAATCTCATCCACAGCACAGCATTCTGAGTTGTTTTGAGTGTAAATTACTTTCTTATTACATATTTTTTAAAGAAAATTACCTCCAAATGGTATTTCTGCATTTTGGAGAGCTACATTTTATGGAGAGCTGCTATGTTCCAGAAGAGCTAAGTGCTCTCGGGGTAGATTTCTTTAAGAGTTTGAGAAAGCTCCTTCCTTTCTGAGATTGTCAGCTCCCTCGTCTCAAGTATCTCCTGCCTTGAAAGAGACTCGACTCTGGTCTGAGGGGCGAACTCAAATTTGGGGACAGGGTTCCCAGCTCTGCCTCTTCATTGGCGAGACCTCGGGAGAGGGCGTAACCTCCGTGGCTGAACATTTGCAGGAGCCCTGGCTCCAGACGAGCTCGCACGCCTAAGGGAAGAGCTGTGCCCTGTCGCCCTGCCCAGGCCTGGGGGCTGCAGGTCAAGGGTTCGATTTCTGGTCAAGGGCACGAACCTGGGTTGCAGGTTCAATCTCTGGACCCAGTCAGGGCTGTGCAGGGGGCAACCAATCAATGTGTCTCTCTGTCTCTCTTCCTCCCTTCCATTCTCTAATAATCCTGGAACGATATCCTCCAGTGAGGATTAACAACAAAAACAAAAAAAAACTTGTGCAGCATTAAATAAATACAAGGTTTAAAAACTAGTTGCTCAGTCCCCTTTTCTCAGGCTGGCAAGTGTGGTTACAGGGGCCATACCGAGAAGATGATTTTCATGGATGGTGGAAGTCCTCTGTCTGGTAGTCCTTTCTTCGGCCCCTGTCTTGGATGGTCTCTAAAGTTCTTTAACGTTAGCAGTTTATTATCACCAGAAGCTCTTCAAGTGTGCCAGTGCCTCAGCAGTTAGTGAAAAGGGGAGAAGTTGGCTGCGGCACCACTGCTGAGTGTGCACTGTGTGCGGGTCGCGGTGGTGTGGGCTGCGGCGGCCATTCCACAGATGTCTGTCACACCTGCTCGGTGTCCTGCACTGTTGTCGGCCGGGAGAGGGCACAGTCTAAAGCATGTAACAGTCCCAGCCCTGTGGGCCTGTCTTCTGGTGGGGAGATTGGTGGACTCCCCACAAACCTGCACGCGGAATTGTTACCCTTCTTTCGACAGAAGGGAGCTGAAGTGTAGAGAAGGTGGGTCACCTGCCAGGGCCTTCCCAGAGCCCACCTCTCTCCTTGCACTGGCATCTTGGCCCGGGAGGGGCAGAGGGACCGGGGTAGGAGGGCACACGGCGGCCCAGGCTGCTCGTCCGTGGCCGTGGTGACAGTTACTGACTAGGCTTTTCCACAGAAATGCTTTTGACGTGGTTCCTGGTCCGAGGCAGACAGCCCTGGATCCCACCTTCCAGAGACCCCATGGGCTGCGCTCAGGGCCGAGGGGTCAACTAATCAGCACCCTGTGACCCCTTTCCTCCTTGTGCATGGGAAGCCATGGAACTGTCCCCCTTGTGTCTGCCTCTTCTCCTCTGTTCCTTGTGTTAGTGAGGGGCACCACCACTGCACCTGGGGAGCACCTGACTCCTCGGGCTCCCACACCCCGGCTCTCTGAATTGCTGGCTGGACCCCCTAGATGCTGCATCTTTCCTGCTCGCTTTTCCCTCTGCACTGCCACAGACTCGAGTCGTTCCGCGTCTCACCTCCTGCCCTGGGACAGCAGTCTGGACAGCCCTTCGGGACCTCTGGGCTCCTGCCCATCACTTGATCATCTAGGGTACACAGAGCCAGGGTTGATTTATGCTCCCCAATTCTCATATCTTAAACCCATGGTAATTTATTTAATTCCTTCAATTTTACAGACAGGGAAACTTGGGTCCAACAAGTTGAAATAATAACATGCTCAAGAAACACAACAAATAAGACCCAGAGCCAAGATTCTATTAAAACCCAAGTTTACTCTAAATTCAAAGCACAAACTATGTGCCTCAACTTTCTCCCTTAAAAAGGAAACTGAGTCACACTACTGCTAATTCCAGGAAGGATGAATGCTGTGGAGATGAGCTTCCCGGGTATAATTTGGTGACAGTTTCATAGCCCAGTCTGGTGCCTCCTTCCTGTTGGCTTCTGTGCCGGTGGCCTTCCTAGCACTGATAGGACAGAACACTTTCTGAACTAAAACCCTAATCGACCCAAACATTGCCAAATTTATAACCAGTAGTAAATTTGTAGAGTTGTACAACTAAATGTATTTTCCCTTTTTTATTTTGTGCACCTTAATTACTGGGGAAGGAGTACATTAACACTAAGGCCATGGGTTCATTGTCCTGGACTGTAGACTTTTATGGACAACCAGGACGAAAGTGCTAGTTGTGTAGGTGCAGTTGACTAACATGGCTTATCATTGTTGCAGAAATTCCCATAATTAGTCCCACTGCAACTAGTAAGCTTGGGGATTTTATATCAGACATAAATTATGAAGGTGAAAAGTAAGAAACATTTTGAGTTGACATAGTGACATTTGCAAAAGCTGTAATTTGAGAAAACCTGTTTTGCATTATTATTGATATTTTTCCAGTTTCCACAATTTTTTAAATTTACTTATTAATGTTTTCATTGCATCGTAATCCATGACTATCAGGTGTTAGGTGCATAAACACAAGTAATACCTTATGAAACTAGTCCACCAGCATCATTTCTCAACGTACACAACTGCCAACCAAAGGCTGAAGAGACCTATTTGATCACACTCTTCAAAGTCATTTCTGCACATTTTAATAGCTTGGAAAGGAAACTTACGGGTTATATTTAAATAGTGTTCCCTGTCATTGGATCTTGACACATTTTAACCTACCTGTTAAAATGCAGGTTATAAATAGCTCCTCTTTCAAAGGTGTTCATTATACCTCATTGGCTCTTGTTATAGAAAATGCAAATGTAATTTGAAAAGTGCCCGTTCTGAGTGTGAGCAATTACTTGTGCTCCTCAATACCTGGTTCATTGTCAGCACATAGCCACTTGGTTTAAAAGCACGTTTGCCTTTGAAATGGAGATCACCCCGGCTCTGGCTGGCTGGCTAAGTGGGTAATGAGAAAATATTTCGCTTTTCCAGGGAAGCAAGCAGCTGTTGAACAACTACCCTGTCTACATAACGAGCAAACAGTGGGACGAGGCTGTAAATTCTTCAAAGAAAGATGGGAGACGGCTCCTTCGATACCTCATCAGATTTGTTTTCACAACCGATGAGCTTAAGTACTCATGCGGCCTTGGGAAAAGGAAAAGGTCAGTGCAGTCAGGAGAGACAGGTCCTGAAAGACGCCCTCTGGATCCAGTTAAAGTAACATGCCTCCGAGGTACTGCATCCTTCCGCTCAGTGTCCCATCTGTGATCTCATTTCACCGCATTGGCTGTGGCTCCCGTGCAGTGTTCAGCCTTTACTGTTTCTGGTTTTTCCCACTGAGACCTTATAGGCTTCATGTGGCCCATCTACTTGGTATCGAGAAGTTCTTTTTAAAATTCCTCGTTTGCTTTAGCCTTGGTGTTCTCACTGGCACCTAAGCATTGCATAGCACCTCATGTTTTCATGCTTTAAATTCAGACTTTCTTTGCCACCAGCGAAGGCCATCTCCAGCAAAACTAGAGCGTTGGGAAATGCAGAGGGAGGGAAGACATGGAATTTTTTTGTAATTAATAAAATGATATGGTCCATTTCATTTGCAGCCTGTGGCCCATCCCTCCCCCATCCCATCTAGCTTCCTTCTCAAGAGTACATCTCCAACTCCTTAAATTTATTTAGAATTCATTTCCCTTTGTGCCTAAATGTCACTTGCCCAGTCAAACTTTATTCTATTAGTTTAAGAAAAAGGTTTCTGCATTATAAATACTCCTTAGGTAATACCATTTCGCCAGTATTAGTAACTTATTACTTAGTAGCTGACCCACACTTGGTAGGCCAGGCAGAGGGTGAGGAGGAAGAATCGACAGGTGCACAGTTCATTCAGCAGGTTCAAACAAACATAGACAACTAGGAACATTATAGAACTGACAAAAACACTGTTCGCGCCTGAACATTTTCATATTGAAAAGCTCAACTATTAACCTGTATAGTTCAGGCGTAATTTTATTGGTTGGAAAGATTTAATAGTGATTTACTCTGGACGTGGATCCAAATGTTTTCTGGAGAGTAAGTCATAGGGAAAAACCTGATCACTGGTTAGGTGTAAGTTATCACACAGGACACTCAATCCCACACTCCCTGCTGGGATGCCCACAGTGACGGTTAGTGTGCCTAAATGCATATGTAGTATTTCTTAGCAGCCGAGGTTCCCCACGCCCACCCTGAGCTTCGGATAAACTGGCCTGGGGTGGGCATGGGAGGCGTGCATCGCTGTGCCTCAGGACACCCCAGGTGATCTTGATGCCGGTGGCCGGTGCTTCCGAAAACCACTGGAATGAAAATACCAGTATTAACTAGGCACAGGTGCTCCAGAGCACCCCGTCTGGACCTGCTCAGAGTGGGTGTGATGGACATTTTCAGGGTCTTTCTGAGCAAACTAGCCATGGTGCCCTTTATTTCCCAACATCATCAGAGCTGATGGAGTTACTCACCAAGAGGACAAAGAGGCAGTGGCGGGCTTGGGGCTCCCCAGAACGCACTCTCAGTGTGTGCTCCAGAAGCAGCCCTGGGACTTCTAGGGGCTTATTTTAACTAGCGAGCCCGGGAAACTGAGGGGTTAGCACGGTGCCACTGCCCTGGGTGCTGCCACGCCCACTGCAACACTAACGCAGTCCCGGCTGCCTGGCCAGGGCACCTTCTCCTGCTCTTGTCTCCCTTGGGGACTCGACCCACAGGCCCCCACTGGACAATACATAGGGCGCGAGATAGTGATTGTGTCCAGGGCAGCTGGTTAGAGCATTTATGTCTGTCCTGAGGGGCCTTCCTGTGACCTAGAGAGGAATCCCTCCCTGAAGGTTTACGCCTGGTGACTCCAGGGGTAGATGTCTTTGTTTTGGTGAACAGGATTACAAGGAAGCCTTAGACCACGGGACACTTTCAGTGTTGGAAAGCGGGGAGCTTGGGGAATGGAATCAAATCCTGGGCTGACCTGCTCCGGAAAGTTTCAACCCTAAAGGGGAGAGGACCCATGAAGATGCTTCATATTGTTTAACAGAATGAGCTCTACTTTGAGTTAATGGTCCGTCACAGTGTTAGGGAAAGTCCTGTCCCAGCAGTTGACAAGGAGCGGGGAGCAGGGCGCCACCGCAGTGCATTCTCCCCGAGTGCAGGTTGCTGTGTCCTCATCCATTAGCCTTTATTTCCTCTCGTTGATACTTTGAGTCTTTCATTTCCTTGTGTTCATAGGAGAGTGGGGGACCTGGACAGAGAGGGAAATTACTTACACAGTTATTGAATGCTTGCTGAATACAGTAGGGACTTTTGAAGGACAGAAGAGGAATAGAAAACAGCCCCTGGCTTCTGGAGCTAATAACAGTCTGGCTGGAGATGATTGGAGGACAGCTGTGAATAGCTACGAACACAAGGAAGTGATAGAAAGTGTAAATGTTGGAGCCCTTGCGGTCTCAGAGTACCTCCTTTCTCTCTGCCCAGCACTAAAATGACTGTGACCTAGGTTTGCAAAGCACCCTTCAGTGTTTCCCGGGCTTGCACCCCAGAGAAGGTCATCAGGTTCACAGCAGTTTTGCAGAGGGAGGAGCTGAATAAACAGTGTTCTCCCCAAGGAAGGCCACAGGGCTGGGACTGAGGTGAGGCGAGTCTCTCACCTCAGGCACAGAATCGAGGGGGATGCCAACAACCTCCGCGCTGCCCCTGCTTCTGCCACTGGACTCCGCTGAGATGGGCACGGTTCAGTGCATGAGAGTGCTGGTCCAGGTGCCTGAAAGCTGTAGCTTCTTCAAGGGCAGGCAGGGCGTGGATTCACAAAGAAATTTCAGGCCAGGCCAGCCTACAGCCAGAACTACGGTCTTGCAGAGGGAGCGCCGTGGAGAGGAAATGGGGTAAAGCTCAGTCAGCTGTGCAGAAAAAGCGTGATGTAGAACTTTTCCCAGAGTGCTCATCTTCACTTTACCGCCATTCATATTACAATAGCTACGTAGGGACGAAGTAGGTGCCTTGCTCCCTGAAGAAACAGAGGAAGGTTCATTTGGGCTCATTCAAAGGAGGCCAAGTTTGTTTCATTGGAGTCTTACTTTTTATATATTCACCTTCCAGGCATGCTGATTGCTTTCTGGTGAAATTAAATATTTAGAGGAAATCTCATTTTTAAAATATCTGTCAGTGCATAGGTAGACACCACAATTAGAGAGATAAGTATAGCCTACAGTATAACATTTTAAGAATGTGCAAACCTCTTCTGAACTAAAATGTAGGCACTTTCTACTCGTTGAGATTTTGCTATTTTATTGCACTTAATCTACAAATTAGTAGCTAGTTGAAGAATACCATGCGAACGCTATTTGCTCTGCTTCTAGAGATAGTTATAATCCCAAAAATGTGAGGCGGCAACAGTGGGTTTTGAAAATGTAACTTTCTAACTTTTACAGATCAAGTTTGCCTTCTATTTCAATAGCAAGTGTTCCTTAGAAGGATTGCCTTCACGTGACTTACTCTTGCACACGAGTAGGAAGTGTATGTGGAATAAGTTGGGTGTAATGAGTGACATCATCATGGCATTGCATTGGAGTTCTCATAAAGCTTTTCTTACGAGCTTCTGTTAAAGTTTAAGCAGTCTCTTCTACCATCTTCTGCAAAAACCAGCTGTTTTTCTCTCTTTTATTGTTGTGTATGTTCCCACAGAATTCATTAGGATGCACTGTACCTCCAACCCCGACTGGTGGATGCCCTCGGAGGAACAAATAAACAAGGTGTTCAGCGATGCTGTGGGTCACGCCCGGCAGGGGCGAGCGGTGGGAACTTTCCTACACAATGGTGGCTCTTTCTATGAAGGGATCGATCACCAGGCTTCCCAGGATGAAGTCTTCAGTAAGAATTCCCAGGATGGGTCTGGGGATTAGTGGACAGAACCTCTCCATCGTAGAAGCCGGTCGGTCTCCTTAAGAGTCGCAGTTGTGAATGTCCTGTTCCCATCTCTTGAGAGCCCACAGCATGGCATCTGTCAGACTGTGCACCCTAAGTCTCAGCTCTCTTGACCTACTGCCACAGTTCCCAAATAGAAATCCATTTTAGGGTTGTTTGGGAAGTCTGTGGAGCCTACCGTAGATTTTCAGAGTATTATAAAAAGAAAAAACTACAATTGATTTTTAAAAGATTGCTAGTTATATGGTAAGGGTCGGGGGAAAAAATAGGCAAAATCTTGGTCACCTGTCTGAAAGATTGGACTGTGTTCCTGCTCATGGGGAAGGTAGGGACATGGAGTTATTTAAAGGGATAGGAACAAACATTCTGTTATTTTCATTCAAATCAGTCATCTTTATGTTTTCCAAAGACTTGAATTCATACTTCTCAGTAAAGACTTCAGATAGGTGATATCATATACTATATCTACATTGACAGAGCCTATCATGAAATAGAAACCAGAGAACAGGGTCACCTCTAGACAGCAATGAATTGGTAGTCATCTGTTGTTGTTTTTTCATTTATTTTTACCAAAAGTTCCTACCATGTTGATCAGGAAGGCACCAGGTAATCTCTGGAGTTTACAAACAGTAATAGTTCTCATGATGTCAGTCAAGAAACATCCAAAGATCCCAAAACATTGTTGAATGCTTGATGTTGTAGGTTCATAGATAAACAGTTCCCATAACCTTAAGTCAGGCTTTGTTGACACAATGCCAAAGTGGGGGGTTTAAACAAGGGGAGTTTCGGCCGGTCAATTGTTTGGTGCACTGAAGACCAAACAAGTGGTGTGACCGGCGGTATTGACGGAGTTGACCAGATGTTCCAGGATTGCATACACAGCTTCAAGGCCATTCTGACAACTATGCAATGGGCTTGTCTGTAATTTCTCTGAACTTTGAGGGTCTTTCTGTGTTCAACTGATCTTTAGAATTTGCATAAAACTTCTGTTTCTTGTTGTCACTGATAAAAATGTTTCTTCTCAACTGCGTGTGCCTGCTTCCCCCAATATTCCTGAGCTACCAGCTCTGGTTAACACCCACTTTCCCCAGTTTAATTTGTCCAGTCCCATATGTGAAATTAGTAGTGTCTTTGGAACCACTTCTTACCTATAAATGCTATCGAGATGCTAGAATCTATTTCTGAAGGCTTCAGGTTTGGACGTCAGGGGAGGCCTTTATCAGACAAATGCAGATTGCCATGTCCTTTGTAAGCAGAGGGCTGAGCGGGCATTTATTGAAGGCTGTTAATGTCATCTACCGACATGACTAAGGATTTTGAAAATCGGTTGGAAATTCATTTAAAGTTTATGAGATTTTTTTTGCCACATTTTGTCCAAGTAAAATAATAAATTATCCTTTACTGGCATCAACTATATGCACAGGCCTAGAAATAGGTCCTTCTTTAGCTTTTTCAATGATTATTAGTTTCAACCATTGAAAAGTTTAATGTTTATAGAGGTGGTCATTTGTCAGATCTGTTAAGTGGTGAGGGGGGAACTAATATTTTTATTCTATTTTGGGAAAGTTAGCTAAAATGTTGTTTTTTTGTGTGTCTTTTCTTAAAGAAATGATAAGGGCAAATGCAGTGTTGTTTATAGAAACCACAAGCCTAATATCTTAGGCTATCCAAGGAAAAAAGTACTTAAAGAGTTTCAGAGGTCTAGGAAATCAATCTTTTAAGATTGTTTGGTGACATGAAATCTCAGCCAGAAGAAAAATATCACTTTTTTGTTTGTTTATTTTTAATAGAAAAGCAAGCAAGAATTTATTGGCGCAGCAAGAACACACACAGGACAGTGAAACGAGGAAGGGCACAGAAGCAGCACCAGGCGAGCCTGGCTGGGCTGCCTGGGCTCACGGGGAAGTCGGGGAAAGGGGGCCTTAGCCAGGCCTCACCCTTGTTCCTCATTCCCACCACTGCGTTTAGGTTACTGTCACCATTGGTGTTTCATAGGCTTCACTAGGAATCGAGGATAAGATCAGAGCATCTGCAGAAAATTGCTGTCATCTCCTTTGGTAGAGGAATTGAGAGGTACATGTAGCTATTTCATAGCTGTAGAGCAAGTGGGTTCTTTTATATTGTGGGTCTTTCTGGGCCCTTCCTAAGTCATAGGAACATTGATCTAAGAGATCCTTCATTGGGTGTCGAGGGAGATACAAATTATTACAGTATATTTTACTAACTACTCTGTGCGTCCAATAACAATAGAATGGTTTCTTCAGTCAGTAACTATTCTTCTAATGTCAAATGTTTTCCCAAAATCTGGACAATACTCCAAACTTGGAAATCTACAAGTTCATGATTACTACATTCTTCTACCACCTTTAATGGCTTTTCCTCCCTTCTGTTGCTATCAGAATATGGATGGAGCATCAAATAAGATGAAACGTGTTCTCTTTTCAGAAAAGCAAACATAACATTACCTTAATTTGGATTCTGTCATTTATTATATGCTCTAGAACCTAACCTAGTACCCACTGACTACCTCCTTAGTTTTTTCATAGATTTTAATCATTTAAAAAATCTCATTTTTAAGTAAATTTATTTCCAGAAAAGATTTAAATGTATAACTTTCTTCATTCAGTGCTATGTCATTTCACAGTACAGATCTGTGTGATTTTTGACAGCTCAGATACAAACTTTTAGAAATGTAACAGAAAATGATTTTGCACATATGGTGCAAGTCTGGCTGAAGTCTGTTTAATGTGGCAACACTCAACCAACACTGCATGGCAACACATGTCAGGTAGAATGCTCAAGTCAGAATTCTAACGTGAATGTGTCTAAACAGCAGTGTGTATCATTACGATATACTTTTGTAAACATAGTGATGGCTCCTTTCAGTGGTGTAAGTACTGGATAAAAATAACTACTTTGTTTGGAATAATTAGGAAAATGTCACCCAGCTGATGAAAATGTCAGCCAATGGCATAACTCTTCTATTTGTGTTGTTTTTTAGAGAGTGAAGAATTGGTATCAGACAACATGGAGTGCAAAAATAATAATGCATCAACATTTGCCTCCTAATATGTAAAATTCAGAACTGTAACTGATATATTTACACATGAAAGCCCACTTACCCTCCACATGATATTCAAGTATAAGAAATATCAAGAGGACTGGACTTTGCTCATCCAATGACTAGCTTGGTCAGTATGGCTATTGAACACATTAAATTACCAATATCTGTGGTGAAAGTGACCAGATTAATTATTCTCGTGACCATCCATATAGCTGGCTAAGATAAAGGCTAGATTTCCACTGAATTACAATTCCCCACATTGCAATGAAAATACATCTACTAATGAGACTTGTTGAAAAACCACTTCATTCTCAGAATAATTGCACCAGTACAAGTGGTCACATGGTCTTGGCCGTGCTGGGAAACAGGCCCATCCGAAACCACTGACAACAGTAGTCGCTACAGCTGATGTTTGTTGAGTTCTTGTGCAGCAGGTACTTTGCTAAGCACTTTACAGCCACCCTCTAAGGCCATTACTGTTATCGCCATGTAAGGGATAAGGACGCTGCCCAAGGTACTCAGCTAATAAAAGTATCAGTTGGGCTTATTAAGCAGAATGACTACTTCAGTCTTCCCCATAAAGTTCTCAAAGCTCATCAACACTTTAGAATAGATTTGTTGTTTCATTTATGCCATTGAGGGAAAGTTGATATTGGTGTTATTAGAAACCACCTTTAAAGTATGTTGACGCTCAAATAGGAGCACATAACCACACATCCTCTGGGAACTGCCAAGATTTCTGCATAAGGCTTCACTTAAGAGCCTATGATGAAGAGTAGAAAGTCTTTTTTAAAAGTAGTGAATAAGTTAAAATCATTTATTTTTCAGATTTATTCTCTAGGTTCCAAGTATAAAAATGCAGGGATATAAAAGCAAAAATTCAAACTAAGTGAAGTGATATTTTGGGGGGAACTCCTAGAAGTTAGAAATAGCATCAGTTAGCCAGTGTTCCATTCACTTTTCACATTTGTTGTATCCTTAGATTGATGAGTCTGGTTTGGAAGAGAGGGTTTTAATTTTCGATGTCGCTGTGAAAACTTGTGAAGATTTTGTAGGAAATACGGTAATCTGTTGATTCTTTCCTGTAGTTGTGTCTTTAACATCTCTGGCTGTGTTTAAGTTCAAGAGCATGCCATGGCCTAGCTTGTGTGTCTTGGGAACAGGGCATGTCAAACCAAGAGATGGGTCCTGAAACTTCCACAGTCACTGGTCCAGCCTGGCCCTGCCCAGTTTAAGCATTGCCTCTATGTCTCTCCTCTGGAACTTCATGTAGCAGCCTGACATTGGGGCCAACTTGCCTTTACTCTATTTTCTATGATGAACACTTGTGGAAAACTGTGACAGATCCATTGATCCTAATATTTTTATTGTTGGAGTCTTGTTGATTCTCTATGAATCATTTCTATTTGATTGTACTGTGTAGAGTTAATACCCACTAGGGATATGTTAATAAAACTATAAATGCATAGTGTAATATAGAATAGCAAGATTTTTGTGAACAATTTATATAGAAGAGTAAGTTGTTTTTTAAGTGTTAGGCACATTTCTTTTAGGAACTTAAAACGTTGTAAGAGTTTTTTAAGCATTCAATATTTTTAATTATAAGAAGCATTTGTTACTAGAGCCAATTATTTCAGGTGTTCTAATTGGAGTATTGATTTTATTACCTCATATACCTCTAGAATGCCATATGTTCTGTTGGAGATAAAATTGCACAATAAATGTCAAGTCTCTGATGAGTGTTTTAACTTGCTTTTTTGTGTCTTCCTTCAATTCTTTTAAGACACTTTTCTGGTTTTGTTGAAAAGAGAAACCTTGTCTCTGAATGCCAATAAATGTTAAATGCCTACTACCCAAATAAAAGCTATTCAGTTTTGTCAGGGAACTGACCAAAAATCACCCAAAAAATCCATT